ACAACTTGAAAGTATGTGGCAAATAGTCTGTGGTATGAAACTGAAAATGTATGACATCACAGTAGTAGAGAAGCAGTACCATCCCATCACAAGCAGTACTTGTAATGTGTAGAACTAGCTTGCAAATTTGGGTCCTTCATCTACTTGGCTTCTAGAAAGCTGAAATGTTTTTTTTTTTTCATTTATAATACTCACTTCTTTGCCAATTTAATATGCCAAACAACTAGAAATAAAACATTTGTGTGTTGATTCCTTTGAAAAGTGTAACACTGTGAGTCTGTGGTGCTTTCATAACATTGATCTGCTTTATCGATCAGCAACACTCAACACACAGCGTGAGTTTGGGAAGGGCTGACCAATAGCATATGTTGCAACTGTTCAAAGCATGTCGAAAATAGTTTCATTTTGGTGACACTAGTAAAGCAGAAATGTCACACTTCACCCTTTTAATGGGCTCATGCCATCTTAGCTTCATTTCCGGGCCTATGTTTAAATCACTCTGAAACAAAACAGCAGTAATAGCAATTGCGCTGTAATGTCATATCTGGAGTGCAAAAAGTCTGTATGTTGCTTTTTATGTATTTCCAGTCGGATGAGAGGGTATAGAAAGCTTTCATCCATGTTTACCATTGTAGGAAAACTTTAGAAAGCAGGCACTCAGTGCTGGCATCCTCCTGATGGTCTCTCTTCAGATGCATATTAAGCTGTTATAGAGCCTCTGCTGGGTCTGGATAAAAACCTTCAGATATGCTGCAACACAGGACAGCACCCTCGTATAATAAGAGCTACAAAACCGCAGGGGGTTTTCAGCTGTCCAACTGTTACCCGAGGACGCTTTGAATTCAGAAACCACGTTAACGGCAAATTCTTTGATTAATAATTTTTTGGATGTTGAAATATTTTTCCCCCACATCTTAGTTTAGAGAGAGGAGAGTTTATCATAAGTGAGCCATTAGTCATCCCAAGTTTGGTTTCCGGACCAAGTAATATGCGCTATTATTAATCTTCTGAAAGAGTACTGAACGTCTGGATCAAAATTCTGTAAAAATAGGGCACAATGTACCGTATAATTTGAAGTAGGGATGCACCGATATCACTTTTTCCAGTACTTCACTTTCGCTAGAAAGTCGTGTATGCCTAAGGTTGAAAATAAATCATGTTTATAGTGAATGCCCCTATGAATGGTTTTATTTGTATGATTTCGTTTTAATCCAAATGATGCGTGTGCTAAGTGAGTGAACATCAAAGATCACACAACAGAATTGCGCGCGCGCGCTCCCTCCCTCTCTCTCTCTCTCTCTCTCTCTCTCGCTCTCTCTCTCTCTCCCTACCGTTAAGTAACTTGTGCATTGTTTTACTTACTTGTTTTTGACGTATCCGACCGAACTACAAACTTTCCAGTGATGTCTGTGAGAAAGATATATTCACTCGACAAGCTCGCGCATCTGCGTCGCCGCGCGCTCAATCCACTCAGCGTGCTTTGTTTATCAGCTCGCGCACATCAGCTATACAGGCGTTAATACTGAATGTTTAACGTTATATTCATTGCATACATATACTTCGTAGCAGACATCCTTAACTCCATTCTGCTGTCTGTTGTTCTGTTGTTGGTGTTTCTTTGTCTGAATATGGCGCTTATCACATGCTGTGTGGTATCAGCGTTTGGTATCGGGGCATTTTAACGAGTACCAGTACGAGTACAGGAGACCAGTATCGGGCCCGATACTGATACTAGTATCGGTATCGGTGCATCCCTAATTTGAAGCAATTTTATTTTGTACAGGTGTTTTACCAGTGTTTTGAATTTTACACTCCATTGAGTTTTGTTTTAGAATTAACAGAAATTAATGTAAAATATATAGGATATAATAGGATAATGTCCTGTGTAATAAGCTGCCAGTACTTTTTCTGTTGTTTTACAGATTTATTTTTTACAGTGCAAAACACGGTGAAGAAAACTCAGAATCAGGCGATCATAAGCAGATGCATATGTAAAATAATGTGAATATCAAATATTAAACAGCATATAAATCAAAACTGCCAAACGTTACCGAATTAAATGTTGATCCAGGAAGTAGTTAAGGACTGTGAAGCTTTTTTGTGGGTGTCGATGGAAGCCATCGAATTCATCTATGTTTTGAACATAATTCGGAATCTCATCCAGACATAGTCTTTGACAAAAAACATGATTTTCTTAGCTTTTTGTTCAAAATGTTGCTTTTTCCCATGAAACGTACCCTCATTCAAGTTAATAAATAATAATAATAATTAAAAAGAATGCATAAAGCTGAATGATATGAATGATACTAAGGTTTGAACATGCAATGTAGATGTAGATTAGACTGCTGTGATACACAACAGGCCTTAATTTATCTTAAAATGAAATAAAACCACTTCTCATAAAGGAAGAACGTGGTCTTCTTTTCAAGGAAAGACTAATGGTTATATGTGGATTCTTTATAACAACCTGCATACAACATTCTTCATTCTTTCAAGCAGATATATTTTTTATAGAGATTAAACTTAGATTACTCCATAAAGCGGTTCAGTCTAGAGCAGTTTTCTCTTTGTTTTGTGGTGTTTGATTTACATTAATGACAAAGACAACAGCAACTAAATTAGGCTGCTGTCGCTTTAAAACCGAATGCACGGATCCAATAAACCGATACGCATCCAATATTCTCTCAACTGTTTACATTCATTTAAGACATAACTGAGTGTTTTTATGTGAATACTCGCCAAAACAGACAATTTGGCAGCTTTTGTTGTGTGTATTTGTCAGTTCAAGTGCGAAAAGACACAAAAGAGAAGTGAATTAATTCCTCGTGCGCTGTCTGAGAGGCGCTTTCTGTGTGTGCGCTCACAAAACTGAACTGAATTGAGTTCTCTTTCGCGTCGTCACACTTTTTCAAATGTATCCATATTAGTGATGTAACAATATCAAAATCTCACAATACGATAATATTGCGATATGAAGTCTACGCTATGATATTTATTGCGATATTTAAACCCTAACCCTAACTGGGGAAAAAAATTAAAATGTTGTAAATTTTACAGTTAAATTATTCTGTCTAATGGACTTGGAGAGTTCAAAATTAACAGCTCTAACCCGTGATCTTAACTAAGAAAACTTGAGTCAGAAAAAAGTCCTGAACTTTAAAGGGGACTCAACCCCTTATTTGTGATATACTGTCTCAGTCTAAATTACATTCACACTGGTGTTTTAGGAAGCCAGACAAATTAGAATATAATAATAATAACAACAATGCCAATAGTAGCCATATATTGTAAAACAATTGCACTGTAAAATAAAAGAAAATTAATATTTCATAGGTATATTATTTTTGCTTACAATACGTCTTTCCTATTTTCTTCACTTGAAAGAGATATTTTGAATTTGGACTGCATTTAAACCGCTAGCTGTCAGCAGTTCATTCTGCACTTTTAAGCTTTTATTTTGACAGAAACTTCATTGAAAACATGGTTACAAAAAAGCCTCTCACTACAAATCTAGTGAAACGCTGTAATCATCTGCCGTGAAAATAAAGCCTAACTCGTGGCTGTTGTGTTCCCAAACGTGCGCTAAACTCACAGCAGTGCAATAAACGAGTTCACTGCATTCATTCAGTGTGAACCGAGCCGTTCTGAGGCGCACAACACCGGATCACGAGCTGATCGCATGAACGAAGTGTGTGCTTCGCTTTGAAACACGCAGCGAAACCAGACTTAATGAAGCAAGGGATTAAGCCATATATTGTGCTTTCGGTTTGAGTTCGTTTGACAGATACTGTGCCAAAGCATAATGACCAATAACACAACTTTAAAGACCTTTCATGTTAGAATAAGAAGCTTAAATATATTTTAAAAACTATGCTTTTTGCCTGGAAGACCTATTGTTTCATATCGTCATGTTTTTGCTATAACGATATCACGATATTGATAATATTGTAACATCCCTAATACATATGATATGTCTGCTCTTCTCTTACTCCCAAACGCTGACATTTTTGAATGTTTAATGAGACGTGCAGCAAGTGTATGCAAACTTGTGTCTCGTCAAGTAGATCAGTAAGTTCCAGCTCAGATGTGCACATCTACCCTCCCTAGCAGGCAAGAGATTGGTTCTGATCAGATGTTTTACCAACTCGTCCCTCCATAACATTTTCATCTCGCTTTTATTTTGTCATAGTTTTTGTCATTCAGAACTGATTTTTATTTTGTTCTCGTCTCATTTTCCTCTGAAAAAATGCTGTTGATGAAATTTATGATGAAAATTATTCATCAGTGAAATGAACACTGGATCAGTTATTAGCATGTTTTGGTGGCTGTTGTAATGGTGCTGCTACTAAGCAAAGGATGTTGTATTTGGCTTATGCGGCGTGTGGGTTATCTTGGCCTCTGGGCATTCCTGCACACTCTGCTAGGGGTGTTGTTTCTTCCCGAGCTTTGTCTGAAGGTGCGTATATTTGTGTGGACCTCACATCACACTTTTATTAGGTTTTCTGATCTCGATGCTGACCTGATTCCTGGCTCCCATGTGTTATCTGGCTGTCAGTCTTTCATGTTTGTCAGTCTTTGTGGCACTGGTGATGGGATGCCTCTGTTTGAGTATGTCAGCTTCTTCTGAGGTGCAATATAGTTTGCATTGAAGCACATTTTGCATTTAACACAGGATGCATTAGTAATACACCAAACATAGTTTTTAGGCAGCTTAACACTCAGTACGTTCCTCTTTGACTATTTCTAACACTTTGACTGGCTGCCATTTGAATCACAGTTATGGCCTCAGGATCTGTGACTAAATACAGCAGCAGCTCTTTCCCCCAACCACACACACACACACACACACACACACACTCTCTCACACACACACACACACACACACACACTCACAGACTCACATAGACACACACACACACACTGTAACTAATCATAAAACTGCTCTTTAGGGGTGCACTGAGGTCTAATTTGAATGTGTTGTGTGATCTGTTTTCTGTCAGAGGTTACGCTGTGGCCAGTAGCAGTGATGACCGGATGAATGAACCCCCGACCTCTCTGGGTCTCGTCCCCCATCAGGTCAGTTATGAGCTCCTGTGCAGTGTCTGATGCATGTATTTGTCATTTTAAGAATGTACTTTATTATTATGTAAATACACTGTTGAACGAGTGTTACAGATCAATAGCGTGTGCTGTTTGTCGTTCATTGTGGAGATATTATCATCCTCAGCATGAGATGGCATTGAAATTCACACTGGTCTGAGCTGATCTGTTCAGCAGCATTTATGCAGATGATAAGTGACTTCTAAAGAGGGTTTGTGTCTCTTCAGTCATCGTCTGCCACAGTAATGTTAATGTCTTTGAATGATATAGATTTGGGGATCTTCTCAGCAAATACCAGTCTATGCAGTTAATTACAATTAGTCGACTGGTTTAAACATTGTAGTGGATTGACGTGCCAATGACAAGTAATGGCTGGAATACACTACAAGTGAAGTGAAGTGAAGTCGACTGTATGCGCGCTTAGAGACAGATAGACGCGACGAATACGTACAAAAACACTGCGACTCACAAGACAAAAAACACGAAAACACCTTTCACGACTTTTGCCCAGATTTTTACCCGTTTAAAGTTTGCACAAGTTGATGCTAGTTGCCAAAAGTCCAATTTTGTAGCTTCAGACTCTGATTTGTATGTGTCTGATTGGAATCCAGTCATATTTAGTAAATGTGAACAGTAAAAAAATCAAATGCAATTTTATTTTTACAAATCCATTTCAAGCTACATTGATTAATTTACAAAGTCGGCAAGTGTATGACACCTAGTGGTTTAAAAGCTGTTTAAAATCTGTTCACATTTTAAAAGTTGTGTAGTTATTCCAGTCCTATTTTTCCCACACTAAAAACACATTCCAAAAATGCTGCAAAGCTTGACAGCCAGTTGTAATTTATTAGATGTATAATATAAAGTTATGTGAACATTGACTTTGAACCAATGATATTTCACTGTGAAACAACAAAGAAATAGAAATAAAAAAGAGTCAACAAAATGCCCTGCTGCTTGTCGTGGCCGTGGCTGGTTAGGGGGCAATCTCAGATTTATAGAAACGAGGGCTGCTTTATCACACCGCTAGTTTTCCTTTGAATTCCAAATATGTTACAGATATGTTGTTTATTTGCTCAGATCAACAATTCATCAATCATTTTACTAATGTAAGTGCAAAATAACCACTGTTGAATTAGGAAGGCTGATATAAGTCGCATGGGTTCATGTTCAGTTGATGTGTGTGATGCAGCGGTGAAGGAAGGTTGTCTTCTTCCTGCAAATATCACTCAGGACTTTCCCTCTTGACGCTTCTTTGTGTAATGCATTCACTCATTACATCAGCATCTGCTTTAAATATCCCTCTTCGTCCTGTGTCATTACCGTATAGTTTGACTAAGACACAAACTTGCAAAGAACAAAAACCAGTCTGAAACTATGTGTTGTCAGTATGAACAAAAGCTAAATGGAATTATAGAGAAGATGGCTTGTTTTTTTCAGTCATGGCTGGGAGGTCTGATTAAATGTATCTCATAAACCTAACATCTGACCTTGTGATCCAGTCGACGAGTCTGAAATGCTCAGTTTCTGAAGAGTGGTGATGCATTTTAAGCAAATGTATGAGACTGTTAAAAGCGGAAGCTAAAACTATATGGGATGTGGGGTCCATCACGATTGTCTCCTGTGTCATTAGACAGCCACTGAGAAAGAAAATGGAAAATTGAGTGAGGACAACAGGAGCAAATCCCTGGGCTAATCCTTCTTGAAAGCGGTTGATGGCTCATACTGAATGTCTTGTTTGTCTTTGACGCTCATCGTCTCACACTTGGGGACGTTCACCAGCTTTATGAGTCTCTAGAGTCAGAGAGAATGAAAAGGAAAAAGAGAGAAGATGGACTTGTGCATAGAAAGCATTGAGGATGAAGTGAATGTAATTAAGCTCACTCTGTTTGTGCTCCTCTTGACCTGGCACTGCAGATGACTTCTTTTTAACTTTTTGAATGGATTGACTTTATATTATTTTAATTTTTTTCTGTGAGTACAACTTAGTCAATGTTTCTTACAGCATAATCGGTTACACATAGGAGTGTAATGGTACATCGTACTATCGCGGTTTGGTTCATGCGGTCAGACGAGGAATACAGTCAGTCACAGGCGATCAGTCCAGAAGGGGGTGCGAGTGAAAACACACTGCCAACCGTCACAACAGGACAGAGCAGAAGAAGAGACGATCGACGCACCAACCCAAAACAAGAACGGAGAGTTCAGATGGCACACAAGAGCTCAAAGAAGCGCCTGCTTGTGTTAAATCAGCAGTCTGGGAAAGTTTTGGGGTCTAGAAGTGCACCGGATGACCGGCTATAAATCAGAACCGGTTTTTAGTTTTATTTTGGCCGGTCTCTACTCCAGAATTTCACACAAACTGCATTGCAATCATTTCCCGAAATATAATTTGTGTGGAATTCTGTAAAGAGGTGAAAATACTGTAGCAGGCAGATCGAGCTCAGTGTTCACGAAATACAGGATAGGACAAATATATGAATGCATCTCTGAGAGGAACTGACCGTCTTCAGATATGTTTCAGTGGCATTTTCTTTTCCTCTTATCTCCATATAATGCATATTAAAGTAGTGTTTATTAGCGCAGCTGCTTTGTTTACAGCGGTAACCAAGGAAACGCTGTATCGCTGCTGTTCCTTAAGCGCCACCTGCTGACGGAGAATAAATCTGCATTTTCATTCAGTCCGTCTGCTGTTTTTGTTTTGCGCAGATGTCTGATGTAGCAAAATTTCACAAATCTAAAGTCAGACCATTCTGTTTTTGCTTTAAATCTTGAAATTATACAATCTAATTCAAATCAAAAACAACTGCTCATGATGCATGTATGCAGCACTACTGTCTGTTCAAAATAAATGAAAAATATATTTCCTGTTGTACTGAACTCGTATCGAAGCATGACCCCAAGACCGAGTTACGTACCGAACCGTGAATTCTGTGTACCATTACACCCCTACTTACACATGACTCTTTCTACAATCTCTCTGACTCTTTGAATTAACAGCAGCGCTTTCGAACCTCTATGACAAAATGAGATGTTTAGTAGGAGGTTCATGCTGCTCCTGGAATAGTCAAGCTTCAGAAATTACCAGAAAGCTTAAAAAATCCATAAACCTTCAGGCTTTCTGAAGTAATTCGATAGCTGATTTGTCATTATTTGCTCCTCTTCTGCCAAGTCAGATCTCATTAACCGTCACATATAACATGTCACAGCAAGCTTATGTTGTTCATGTCATTCCAAACCTGTATGACTTTCTTTCTTCTGTGGAACATAAAATAAATTATTCTTATTATTGGTGAATTATGCCTTTAAGACATTAGTATTTGCATGAGCTCTGATATGTGCCACGTTGCTAAATTACTAAGTTGATGTAAATGTGGGCAGCCATATGTTAATGAGCTCATGGTTTTGATGCCGTAACCATGAAGATCATTATAATTCCTCAACTCATAAATTGTTCTTGCCGGGATGAACATTAGGGCTTGTGTGGAACTGATTCGGATTCCACATAATTACAGTCCCCCCTTTTTGATTAACACTAATGGCTTGTGAAGATTGTGATTTGAACAGTTCTTGACTCGAGTGATTTTTTATGAATCGGGCTTGGCTGGTCATCTTCAGTTGATCAGGTTGGGTTCAGTCTGTGCTCACAGCTCAGCATCAGCGTTTGTTTTGCTGATGCTGTGGATTCAATGTGTGCTTCTCTGTCCAAATCAGTGGAAGAACACAGCTGTTCAAAACCCGTGAACAGAAATAAATGTCATGACGATCATTCTGTTTGCAGTATTTCAAATGGAACTGGTTCTGAATAAGAACCGAGCAATAGGAACATCTGCAGAAGGTAGATTATCCTGTTTTCAATATACACTGTAAACAGGGCTCTACGCTTATTTTTCTTTTTAGGAGCGCTAACTTCTTGTCTATTTAACTGTTGTATTAAATCAGTATCACATTTACAAACTCCCTTAAAAATCATTAAAAGCTGGCACTCATCTTAGCTCTTCGCGATCTCACATCTATAATCAACGAAGCTCTCTACACTGCGCACTGAATCTCTCACTTTGCTTATGAAAGGATTCATGAGATATGTCTGTGATACATTACTCAACGCTGCAAAAACACCTTTGAAGCTCCCCTCAGCGATCACAATCACAAGTATGATGCAGATCTGGTCAGTCGCACTGGTGCTCCTAAATATGTTTTCATAGTCGCACGCAGTAGTTTTCAGTCGCAAATGCGACTGAAATGGTCGCACCGTAGAGCCCTGTGTAAAACAAGATTTTTCAAAGTTGTGAAGTTGTAAATAGAACCGGTAATTGGAGAATGTTTTACAAGAAAATACTCTTTCAAAATTTCACATTTAATTCAATGAGTTTCTTGCATGTCTTTGTGAAATGTACTAGCAGTTTCTGAGTGAGAATGATTTCAAAGTAAATCATACATCCTTTTTTTTTTTCAGTGTATGATTCCTTCTAAAGGACACGATGGAAAAACACCAACATAAATCCAGTTGTGCTTGCGTGCACTATTAATCATACCTATTATATGTAGTTGTTACATTATATTGCTATGTTGCAACTTCCAATCTCACAGTCTAGCTATAATTCATAAAGTGGCACAGCAGGACCCCCTGCCTGTGTGCTGAAGCTTAGCACAGCGTTGTAGCAAGAGCCCCCCCCGCATGCAACACACGCATGCACGCACACACACATACGCGCACACATACACACACACACACACACACACACACACTGTCACACAGTGGGCTAATGACGCAGCAACAGACGTCAAAGAACTGCTCTCTGGGTTATTAGCTCCACCAGTGTGCAGCATGCATATGCCCCTTCAGAAATAACGCTCCCCTCCTCAAGAACCCATAATTGCAAATATGTGATCCTTACTCGTAATGCGATTAATCAGAAAAGCTCTCTTGACTGTGATTAGCCTCAACACATCGACAGACGCTGGAGAACAGGACACATGCGACCACTGGGTCATTATAATCCCCGACCTCATAAATTGTTCTTGACGGGATTTAGTGCTCTGACCTTTTTTTGCATTTATGTTGCGCTCAACATGACTGCATGCCACACTCATGGTGGCTGATTCGTCTCTTTAGCTTGCACTGGCCCCTGCTGGATGTGTGGAGAACTACAGCGCATCTGCTCTGAGGGTTTTTATAAACCAGAGCTCTGTGCTGATCTAGTGAGCAATATTATCATAGTGTGCATGAGAGCGGTGCTGGTCAGAACTGTGGTGTGATGAAGCAAGCAGCATCTCTTCCCTGTTTAGTTCATCTCAGTTTACCAGCCCTACCTAAAAGACACAGTTTGATGTCAGATCATTTTTTTTTAAATAAATGAATGCTTTATTCATCAGGGACACATTGAATTGATCAAAAGAGACAGTAAAGTCATTTATAATGTTACAAAAGATTTA